TAACTGTTCACAATTAATCCAAAAACTATATAAATAAAATAACACCCTGAAAATTATTCTGAAGTCAAGATTAGCTTAACTTCCTGAAGAAAAATCGTAAAATAATTCGCCTGGAGTCAGTTTGAAGGGCAAAGACGTCTTTAATAGAAAAATAAAGATAGTTCTGTGGAATTGAAAATAAAATAGGTTGATTTATTAAATTAAGTATTGCAAATAAAAATAATATATGTAACAATGATAGTATAAGAACTCTCTCGCAATTCTGCCCACGCTTCTTGGCTTATCACACCACTCTCTCCACTCATCCTTCGCTCGCCACACTTACAGCCAGTCCCTCGGTGGACCCCTCGTCGCCGAGAGATTTTCCCATTGAGTCTTTCGCCCCTTCCAGCTCTCTTTTTCTTTTATGGCACTCACTCCGTTTTCTTAAAACTACGATACTACAGTCCTTTTTCTCGAAAATTTTACAAATTCAAACGACTATACGAAGTTAACAAATTTTGTTCGCGACTTGAATCACCATGAATTTAAACACTGAAGTCTCTACTTTACAGCAATCCTATAAAAGTTGATGTGCGATTTTTTATTGCACTTTGAACGAAAAATTGAAATAGCGACCTATTAGGTTGTTGTAGATGAAGTGACCAAGATACCAATGAAACTTTCCACGTCTGTATAATAATATTTACTAATCAGAGCATGATCCACTGGTTTTGATACGCTTTCACCATTGGAAAACAAGGTTATTTATGCCTTTATTAAAAGAAACCTCTTTATTTCTAGGTGCAAGGAGGGATTTTAAAAACGTTTCTTACTTCAGTTTCGTTATTAAATTTTGGGTATAAAAATGGTCAGTGAAATTTGATCACGATTCATGTTGTACACAATCTGCCGTTTAATAGTAAAACAATTGAACCACCGATCCTGGTAGTTCGTTAATTATTTCACTATTAAATGACAGATGGTTTTTGTTAACTTCAAGCTTTATTTTGGTTTGGTTAACTTCTAGATTTAATACGACCATTTCATAAGCAATAACCTAATAGTTACGGTAAAGTTAACACGTATCTATCTGTTCCATTATCGAGAATCACAGTTCGAACAACTTCTTCAGCGGGGAAATTCACAACACTCATACACAAGACAGAATGAACAGCTCGCAACATTAATTCTTTTTTTGTCCACAGCCTCAGAAGAACTCGGTGGTAGCATGAGCACCACTCTGCCATCAGCACCGACAGAACTTCCGCAATTCCCGAAGCTTTGCGAGCTGCGTCGAAAGTTTCCTGTTCTGTACCGCGTGGAGTTTCAGGTGAGGACAATAAATCCTTCTTTTCCACCCATTGCTGCACGTTGATTCGACGTTTTCGGGGCTTGTTCCTCGCTTTCAATAATAACTTCAACTTACCGCTCGGACCTTGTTGCTCGGATCGTGGAATCCGGGGCAGCTTAAAAGGATTCTCGTGTGACTTTTTTGAAGAGGAAGTTTTGGGGTTTCTTTAGAGTACAGAATAAAAGTGCAGTCTGAGAATTTTGGTACGCTGGAGATTTACTTTAATGGTAAAGGCATTGTGAGATGTGGAGGAATCTTTAATGGAATATCGGTGGATTGCAAATAACTTTGCTGTATTTTTTGGTATACATAATGAAATTGGTCTTCAGTTTGTGACTTTAAGAGTTGAAAATTTTGGTACTTTGAAAGTTTAATTTAGTGCTTTATGACGAAGGTGTTATAAAATGTGAAAGAGATTTGAACGAAGTATTGGAGGAAGTTTAAGGGGGTATTCTAGTCTAGACTTTTCAAAAATATCGATTTCTTTTACATTTTCTGAAAGTAGACATTTGCAGAGGTATAACTGTCGAAGGATTTTTCCGAATTCGTAAAATTGAGGAAGTTATAGATGGTTAAAGAAGGCGACATGTAGCCCGTAGTCATAAGTATCTACATATACCATTCTCGTGTAACTGGTATGAGAAACTTTAAACGCATTTTTCTCGAAACCATGTTTTTCTAAATGGCTGACATGATATCTCATGTTCTAGTTGTCCGATTGACTCGAAATTTTACATGCACCTTCAGTGGATGTGTCGTTATCGTTTGAACCAGAATTATGCCAAAATACATATTTTTCTGATTTGTAGAACCTCTGACAGACGAAAAAGAATCGACAAAATCGATACACAAAATTCAAAGTGCCGCCATTTTGTAAATTTTCACTATTTTTTTTTCATTCTGGTTCACACCATAATCACATTCGTACTAATCAAGAATCCTTTTGGTTTTTTCATTTTGGATAAACAGAATGGGCGGAATCGTGTCAGCCAGTAGGACACTTTTTTTTTAAGGGACCGCACTGAATGATATATAATTCAGACAGTTTTGATTATTTTCACTTGAAAATAATTGTGAACTTTCTTAAGACATGAACAAATATGTATGCAAAATGCCGATACTGAGAAACTTATACTTTCCTTACAAAAAAAATCCCTAAGAAGGACTAAAAAATGACACTCTAGACTAGAATACCCCCTTAAGAATTGAAAATTTTGGTACTTTGAAAGTTTAGTTTAATGATTTATGAAGAAAGCATTGTAGAATGTGAAAGGAACTTTGAAGTATTGGTCGACGATTTTAGAAATTTTAAAAGGTGAAGAGTAAATAGTATTATTAGTTTCCTTCCACCCACGAGTATTCTATTCTATTTTCTTCTCGTTTAACGACACCTTCGCTATAAAGTATCAAACTAAACTTTCAAAGTATCAAAAATTCTCAATATACAAATTCTCAAACTGAAGATCAATTCCATTACGTACACCAAAGGAATACCTGAAAACTTCTTTCAAGCCACCAATATTCCATTCAAGTTTCTTCCCCATCGCACAATGCCTTCGCTATTAAATCAAATTTCCAAAGTATTCAAATACTACTTAAAAGATGAACTGTAAATAGTATTCTCTGTAATTGTAACTTGTTCAGAAAGTCCATTCAGTGATAAAATTACAGTTCGAGAATATCTCACCATTACTCAAAAGGGTAGAGTTTTAACGTTGGAAATGTCCCGTCGCTCGTTTGCAAAGGGTTAATTACTATTTCAGAAATTCAAAGTCTCCTACTCAATGGTAATTGGTGTGTCATAATTTCATCCTTAAGACCATTAGGAAAATGGGATTTTTCGTAATTACACATCGTAATAAAGATCGCTTTTAATAATTAAGAAACTTGTTACTATTACTGTTGATATCTTCTTTATGAAGTTAGCACGGAGTAAAGTTGCAGCATCAAAATTTCTGTAACATAAATATCATCTCCTTTTTCAAGTCTTTGCTCTTCCCAACTTTTCTTCAATCCTTTTTAACATTCAGATGTATGTTTATTAGTAAAATGAAATTGACTTCCTCGATAATATTATTCGCATAAAAATGTATGCTTGTGTAGCAAGTATTAAAAAATATAAATTCACAAGTTTTCACGTTATTTGCCAATTGTGCCGGTGATCGTGAAAATAACCTAAGTCGTATATTTTACGTTTCGAGATGTTTAGATTTCTTCCTTGGTATTAAAAAATACATCCAATAACGGTTTAATGGTTCAATTTCCGTCAATTTTGCAAAAATAGCTTCACATTTTTCACTTAGGCCAATTTCATAATCACCTACTCAACTGTAGACACTATCGACGAAAGGGAAATTGATCGTTCGAAGGATTATTTCCCAAAGGGAAGGAGACGAAGATTCCTAGAATCAACCGCAACTTCTACCCGCATCCTGTCCAGAACTTGCCAAACTCTCGGTCTTAATTAGACACGTACCGTTTTTCTAGACCAATTTGGACTCGCGGAGAAACAGAATCAATTATGTATGTAAGCCGTCTGCAATAGATTTTCTTGTAGAATATGCAAAATAGGTGACAGCAATCCCGCAAGTCATGCGAGATGTTTACTGGATAACGTTAAAATCTATGATGACACCGATCTAAATTTGTTTTTCAAATAGTTTATGATACAGTACATATATCACTGTACAAGGTCTTTCTTTTCTAAGTTGAGTAACTGATATATCTCAGTTTCTTTTGATAATGCGAAAAAATGTAGGAGAATATGATCCTATTCAAAGAACTAACAAATTTTTTCATCCAAATATCATCCATCGCGTCACATGTTTCTATTGGATTATGGGAGTTATTGGTTGTTAAATAATTAATAATCCTTATTTTAAACTATAAACTTTTATTAGACACAAGGAAGGTTCGCTTTTCTACTTGATGGTAAGAGCACTGTCTACGGACTGAGAATGCTCCTACGCAACGCCCTAATATTGCCTACGAACTGGGAATCTTTATCAATGTCAGTGTCTAGGAAGTCTGTGTGAACTCGTGTTTTTTTTTTTTCTTCAGTGTAGTGAGAGGAGTTTGTTTTTATACTGATTCTATGTCCGTCGGTTTTCCTTCACCTTACCTCGGATAAGGCGTGTCTTAGGTTTTTGAGACATGCGGATTGGTTAATGTCATTAGTCGGAAGTAGCGAGGGTGGTGGTTGATATTTTAACTGATAGGTTAGAAAAAATGCGGAAGGAGAAACAAAATAACCACCCCCAAGCGAACAGTCACTCTCAGGTAGAACACGTGCTCCCTGGGTGACCGTCGCGAAAATCCGCTTGCCTCGAAACCCGGAACGGTACAGGCAATAAACTTATGAAGCACTCTGAGGTGAACAATACATGAAAGAAACAAAGTAAAAATTCTAAACCTCGGTCATCGGTGAAAAAACAGGGACTTATAAGGAATGCGATGGAGAATCAATGGCTTCATAAAGTTATTGTCTCTACCGACGGGTCAGGATTTGGAGAAATATTCGAACGATGCAAAATTTAGAAATCCTGACCCGGTTTATGGAGGGCTCTTTCCCCTTGGGGTAGTGCAGGTATGTGCCGCGTAACACTGTCTACTGACTGAGAATGCTCCTACTCAACGCCCTAATATTGTCTACGACCCGGCTTGGGACCGAAGGGCCTTTTGTCACGTATAAACATTTAGATCTTTACTAAACAGAGGTGGTAAGGCTAAACGGATTTCTTCGAACGTATACAAAAGTAATATATACTTCTTAGTAAGGCGTTAGATTAATTTTTGTTGTATCTAACTGACTGATAAATCTAACAGTTTCAACATGTAGATAGTTAAAACACTTTGGGAAACGGGATGTTTAAATGGATAGAAATGAAATCATTCAAAAGTCAAAACTAGTGGTTCAACTGAATCAATGATCTTTACATCAGTTTCTGAGAAATTGCAAAGAGTAGTGGTGTATCTAGTGTTTTGAATATTTTACATTTACTATTTCTCCTGTCCTAATGACAAAGACTATGTTGGCCAAAGGTGCAAAATATTGTAGAGTTCCATTTAAAAAACTAAAGGTGATCTTGATAACTTTGAAAAAAAATGATCTAGAAAAGAGTTGCTACAATCACCCTTCTAAACCAAGGTACATATTTGCAGAAAAATAAATTTCTATTGGTTCAGCTGTAGTGGAATTAATTAAGGTAATTAAGTTACGTTTCCCATCCTTCATCTAACAATATTATAAAGAAAAAAGTTCTGGTAATATTCTACGAGATAGAAATATCATTCGTTATTAATGATACGGTAGAAAATCAGTTATCAGTGTTGTTAGTAACAATGATACTTGTTAAACCAAGGTATCCAGAAAAAGATCATTTGTATTAACCCAGTAGTAACGGAAATAATTAACACTAGGACTACCAACCGGGTCAAAATGACCTATTAGCGACTTTCCAAAAGTGAATTTTTATGTAACTGAAACGTGAATGAACAATTAGATTAGATCGGTACAAATGTCGTATACCTCTCTCTTATCTTTCATTAGTTTTTAGTCATCCTGCCTCCTTTCCTTAACTGTAAACAAATCCGCATCATCCTAACGTTAGTCACCCCGAAACCTAGACCTCCACATCATCCTTTACTTTTACTCATCGCTGAACCTAGACCTCACCGCCTCTCCCTACATTGACCTCTGAGACCAACCCCTACTCTCGTACTTACCGAATATATCTAGAACCTATATCTTCACGCACCGAACGTCACCGAACTGTCTAATAAAGTCGAATAGTACTACGCGCAGAATAGCTCCCTTATTTCGCCCCAGTTCCCGTCAGGCTCTCCTACCGCGTACCTATTGAATATAATAAACCAACGCAAGGAATCACGAGCCGCGGAATACAACACAAATAGAAGCATACGTGCAGAAAACAAAGTCGAGAAGTTACAAATGGTAATACTTGCTGTGTATCGAACAT